GACATGCAGGAAAACTGTCACAAGGCTGTATGTAATCAAACATATACATAAATCGCGATTCACGATTTTGCGCTATCATACTGGGTGTATAGTCGGCTGTGTGCGATTTTGCGAGTGTGGTAAAATCGCGTTAACAGCAAAATCGCATAACAGCCAAGCATACACCCAGCAGCGCTGCTGATGCCTGAACGGTATGTGGAATGAAGTGGGCGGGCATCGGGAGGCCACTATGGTACGGGGCAAGCACTATGGGCAGTCTATCTGAAGTGTACCTGGCATATAAGACGACCCCCCACTTGGAGGCATATTTTTCAGGGCCAAAAAATCGTCTTATATGCCGGCAAATACGGTATGTGTTTTTCTTTACAAGCAGTACATAAAAAAATGGCACATCTTAAAATCAGTGGCATCTTATATTCTACATAAATTATATTTTGTAGAATATTTGAAAAGCTATGAGCAATTACTAGTTTACATAGTACCCTTCTACTTTTCATTGGTGTGAAAAGAGAAAAAAAAACAATGAATCATAAATGGATGCATTGCGGTAAGGTCCACACTTTGTTAAATAATGTTTAGGTACTTTTAAACATCATAGAAATATAAATTTACATAAACCTTTAGTGGGAAATTCTGCCCCATCTACCAAATTAAAAACTTAATATAGCTTTTGCACAATTCTAATTTTAGAAATATCTCCTCAAGAAATATCTGAACCTATGTACAAGGATATTCATGAACTAATGTCTGGAATTGAAAAAAAATGAACAAAAATATCTATGAGTATATATACATGAGTAATGGATTGACTAATTATACTGTAGTGAAGTCAAAAAATAAAATATTGTGTTTACATTAACAAAAGAATAAGGTATATAAATGAACAAATGTGGAGACATAGCCACAAAATAATATTGAGTATAATAATAAGACAGAGCAGTATCGTTATATTGTATATGTATATGTAGGGAGATAGACAAGAAACCATTCATGGCAGTTAAAGGGCAGGTGACGGTCAAATTATGGAGAATTTTTGTTTTGTATTTGTTTTACTTTTGTATTATTTGAACAATTTACAATGATAATTCGTAATTAGAAAACACAAACCTTTATATTTTTCTTTACTACATAATTATAGGAAAAAAGAAAGAATTTGGTATTCAAAGGAGAGATTTATTATTCAATTCCCTGAAACAGTCTTGGAGACAAAAAAAATAATTAACAAGTCATTAGTTAGTTCATAAGGCCTAATTTGATTGGTAAAAACCTAGATAGACATGTAAAATGGGAACAATAAGGAAGACACCACAGTAAGGATTCAGAGTATAAGAGTCAACATGTATAAGTTTTGAAGAAAATTGACATAAACTACTTTACATATAAAACTGACTTTGAAGCTCCACCTTAGAATTTAGCAGCCATACTAGATGATGGCAGTTTCTGGAAGAAAATAAATGGATCCTGAGTTCTGAAATCTATCATAGACCCTCTAAACGGAAGCCACCCAACTTCTTATTAATGGCAAGATGGACACAGCATGCATTTGGCTATTAAAGCCCCTTTGGAAAGTGAACAGAAGTCAGGTTAGTGTCTTTTAAATTTCTTCTTAAATTCCTGCAAATAATTACAATTTAGACCCCAAAAAAATCACATTGTGCAGCTTCAAAACCTTTATATTTTCTTTCATTGTAGATATCCAAGTCTGGATTTTGAATAGGTGAGTGCCTAAGTTTATCTAGAATAAATATGTTAATTAAAAACAGTCAAGCTTAACTCTTCATGGGGTGCAAAAATTTTTAATTTCCTCACCTTTGGAGCTTGAACCAGATGATAATCAAGGACTCAAAAAATTTTAGAGTTAAAATGTCCTTAAGAAACTGTCTGCTTCATTATTTTAATTCTGCTGTTGTTCCTGCTAGTGTAACCCAATAATAGTCTTCCTGCTTAGAGTTAAAATGATTTGAGGAGAAATGGATTAATTATACATCAGGTATAATTCATGTTTTGAAGAGTAATGGCCTTAAAAAGACTCCCCAACTGATGATAACTCACTGCTTTATTAAAAACTTTTAAATGTTAACTATATGTAATATAACATCCTTAGTAGTTCATTTAAAAATTTAACCCACTATCAAAATATTCTTATTTCTAGTGTTAAGAACCTCAGTATTGATCTGGGTTAAAGGTGAGTTGTATTTGATCTGTGCAGGTAGTGACTAAAATCAGGGCAAACAAATATATACAAACAACTCTCATCAAGCCAGTTGTGAATAGACACTCTCAGAGTGGAGCAGATATCTGGTAAGAGGGACTATTCAAGTCTGAACACCAGATTCCATGCTCTTAGAAAAAGACATCCTCTGATTTAGAAACCACAAAAAGAGTTTCAGGTAAAAGCAATCTAACGCTTTGGACAATTTAGTTGGTAGTGAAATTCTGTCTGATGGCATCTATGCTGGTCAATTGTCTGTTTGCTCTCAAACCAACGCCCTGCCTTCTTCTTGCCCTGTCCCACATTATAGAGAACCCTTTTCCTTGGCTTCTGAGTAGGTCTGTTCAGTGGCAGACATTATTGGAATGGTCAAAGGAAGACAGAATCTAGGGTATGTCTCCCCGCCAAACCTGTGGTTGTATCTGCCACGATTTCGGATCGCACTGAAGAGGCCCATTTTGATTCTAGCTTTTACCCGGTGTTCCTGGCTCCTGGCCTATGTAACAGAGGCTCCTCCCTCGTTACTTCCAGTCAAGGAGCTGTAGCCCCAGATGTACCAGGTTAGCTTGCTCTCCCTTTGAAATGGCCTTGATTTTGTAATAGGGCCAGGTTTACTATAGGCTGCATGTTACAGGAAAAAAAGGAATGCGTTTGCTCCCTGTCATTAGAAAACTGTCCAGGAATAAGGAACTTTAGGAAGGTCATTGCTTTTAAGACATAAAAAACTAATATTTGTAAAGAAGTGTACAACTTACAAGTACATCCACATATATTATCTGCAACTTAATGTAGGCTAACATATCTTGTGTATAAAATGCTAAAGTGAAATAGAAGTATAAATCATATCATTTCACCATACACATTTGCTATGAAGCATCTGTGGGTACTTGCTGAGAATAAAGGAAAAGGAATAGCAATTTCCTCTGTTTTCTATTTCTCAAATCAGCTATATAAGCAAATTGCTTATAGGGTATTTCTTTTTTTTCTAAACATAGTTAATGACCTTGGAAGCTCATGGAGACAGAAGTGGTGACAACTGATAACCATTTTACATTCTAGGCTGTAGGTTGATGAGAATCCATAGCACACACATTGGAAACATTTGTACAATAGTAGGGCTCAATTGCAATATATCTCCCCTAGACAGTTAGAAAATTCCTCAGACGTCAATCACTGTTGATGACAGGAGATTTCGACATTTGGTGGAAAGTTAAGCCTATATTCTCAATAAATACATCTTAGTTTTTATTTATAATGGTAATAATCATGTACTATGACACCCAAATATGATGAGGTAAAACATAAATTAGACTACATGATTTCGGATAATGTTTTAGTTTTTACAGATACTAAGAGTTTCTTTAAAATCACAGTATTCATAGACCTGGTGAAAGGCCTAAATAAAACTTAATGTTCTTTATGTGATTACAGTTCTTGAATTTTGACACAGAATATCACCTTTCTAAAATGTCTTCTCATATATTCTTTCCATACTATTCCCACTCCTCTTAAAATTTCCAGAATTTCTCTGTTACATGAGCTATTGTGTCAAAACGTTCTAATCTGTATTTAAATATCGATAACACAGGAGGAAGTAAATATGTATGTTTCAATTTAAGATTTTTTTTTTCATTTTTTTTTCTCCAGTTGTTTCATTTTTATTTCTTTTACAGTCTATATATCTGGGGGTTCATTTGCCATCAGATAGCTTCTTGCTTTCTGCACAACTATTGGCTTTTACTGGCTACAGGATTCCTCAAAGTTCTATCTTCTGTCATTGCTGAACTTTTAGCAAATCCTCTTTGCCTGCCTTTGCTGCCCCACATTTCACCCTGTGGCAAAGCCACTAATGTTTCCTTATCCGGATTCCTCACCAACTACCAATGTACCTGCAATATTCGTTTATTATCAAGCAGTTTAGCTCTGCGACTAAAGAATACCAGCTGCCCACTCTGACAGGAATGCCCAAAGGAGCTAAATACTATACTACTATTGGGCTAAATCTATTTTGCTGCTTTGCCTTCAGGAAATAAGTGTTCCTTTTGTTATCCTAATTGCATTTTTATCTTCTGTTTTTTAAGTGCTTCACCCAATTGACAGACCAGCCTGTCTGGTTGAAACATGTTTTATTTTCTGGCTTTAGCAATATCCCTTCTTGTGCAAAAACATCAAACTCTTCTAGAACTCAATGCTTCAACTTATGAGAAAACTCTATGATTAAGTCAAACCATCTCTTTTGGGCTCCTTCTCTGAAGCTTACAGTTAGAATTTTCTAGACCTGAACTGTGATTATGTTATATCATTCAGAATTTTTTTAGTCAAGAGAAGAAATTCTTCCTCAGCTTCAATGTTTGTGTCAGACAATGAATAAGGATTTTGCTCGTGAGAACTTTTTAAAAAGTTGAACATTCGTGAACAAATGATATGTAAACATTAATAGTTTTTTAAAATATATATTGTTAACAGATTTTCAAAAGTTAAATTATTGAATAGTGGTTGTTTGTATGGCTCACGCACAACTAGTTTTTCATATAAAGAGTAATCACAGCACTTTCCTTTAGCAAATGTATCTGCCTTTTTATTTCTTGGAGAAAGGTCTCAGCATAAGCGGACACTTGTCGGAGATTGGTTGAACATTTCTGTGGAATTGGAATGCATGAATTTTACAACGTACTGCTTTTACTCATTCAGATGACTGTTTTACGTAGACATGCCATAGAACTAATCTATAAACAATAATATGAAAGACTATCATGTATGACTTACCATATTTTCTTCATGTTCTTAGAATTTTATGGCCCCTCCTGGTGTCTGACCCCCGCAGACAGAGGATTGTGTCAAGCCAACGAGACCAGATTCTACTACAATGCTATTATCGGGAAGTGCCGCCCGTTTAAGTACAGTGGATGTGGAGGGAACGAAAACAATTTTACTTCTAAAAAGTCATGTCACAGGGCTTGTCAAAAAGGTATAGAAGACGTTCTTCCCATTAACTCACTGGTGTTTAGGAAAGCAACGGTACTGAAATTATGAATGAAATTTAATCCATGAAAAATATCATCAAATTAGTTCTATTTGTTATAAGAAACAAAGTGTAATGATTTAGCTAATAAATGTCCCCGTGTCAACTATAATTAAATAATATTGCTGGGTATGTTAGCTGTAGCTCCTCTTAATTTGTCTTCATAGAAAAATAATTGATTTTAAACAAATAATTTTATTCTTTTGATATTTACATAGTAAGCTTTCATTATAAAAGATTCTACCAAAATATATTTAAGCTTTTTTATAATGCACAAAATTATGTATTAGTTTTCTTCTGAATATGAAGTTAATGTATGTTTATAGAATAGTGTTAATATGTAAATAATAATTTATAATTTCACCAATCATATACAGCCATGTTTATATGTTTAATAAACTGACCATGAATTTCTAAGTGAAAATCAATAACATGTTTATCCATTTTTGCTAACTCATATATGTAAAATGACTTCTGTAGAATAGATTATTCTATACAAAGACAAAGACAAATTAAAAGCTTTTAAACTAATAACATTTTGGGGGGGGTTTAAACATTAAAAGATAATTTGAGGAAATTTTAGAAAACTAACACAATAAAATATTGTATCATGCATAAATTTGTTTCTCTTCCTTTTGTAGGTTTCATCCAAAGAATATCAAAAGAAGGGTTAATTAAAACCAAAAGAAAAAGAAAGAAGCAGCTAGTGAAAATAGTATATGAAAAGACTTTTGTTAAAAAGATATAAATTTGTTATATTATTACAACATTAATTCTACTAAATATTTTAGATGAAGCTTTTCACTATGATTCCTATTTTTTTCTTTCCTAAAATTCTCTTAATTATATTTTTATGAATTTCTTATGCATATATTACCTGCTATTAATACATTTGCATCCATGTTCCTTACCTGATCTAGTCAAATTGCTTATTCTAGAGCTATAATTTATTAACTGACTACTATGAATTTACTTATTCTATAGATCGTTTTTTAACTATTTACCATTTGACTACAAATTATCAAGTTGCTGGCCACATCAAATCAGTCAAGTTTTCCCATTTTGTGATCATCTATTTGATAACATATTGTCATTTATTTGTTTTGATCACATATACAATGATATTCTTTATATAATAGCTCATGCCCAGATTAATAAGTACAGCTATTTAAAAACAAATACTTTGGGGGTTTCATATCTAAAATGGAGACAAGCACCTTCTTTTGATAAAGATCATTCACTTGTGCATTTGGAAAGAGCTGTAACAGTAGAATTCTATGGTGTGCTTCCCTCCCTAGACATACTTGATTTCCTTTTGCACTAACCAACACCTCAATGGATCTTGAGCCAAACTGTATTTGAATACAGAAGAGTCAATTCTGTGTCATATGCCTGCCTGATTTTGTTTGATTTCAGTTTTTTTGTTTGTTTGTTTGCTAGTGGTTCGTTATATCAATTAAGATGGTTGAATAATGGTGTGTTAAATGCAGATCACGATAAGAAGGGACTTGGTGGGAAAGGGAAGTTTTTAATGGCAATCTAAAGGAAATTCTGTTTATGAACTTCCTAATTTCATTGTTTGACAAAATTTTCTCTTACTAAAAATAGCAAGAATAAAAAAAAAAAAAAACAAGAATATTTAAACCTCCTGAAACCTATTCATCTGTCATTAGGCTTTACACACAATGCAACCAGCAATTCATACATAAAAGAAAAAAAAACAAAATACATGTTATTTCTGTAGAAGAGAAAATTATCAGGATGGAAGGTTATTCTAGAAAATTCACGCACTGTTTATTCTCAGGGTTTTAACCAGCATTTTTCTGGAGTAAATTCGCTGTAACCAGATCTATACCTTTCTTTCTCTGCTAAGCCATGTGCAGTCTGGCATCACAACAGCCTCCTAGATGTTTCAGTGTCTATACTGTTCACATCAAATTTCACATTTAAATTTGAACTTGTCATCTAGAAACAACTACTTAATCCATTTACCTTAGTTTAATAACTACTTCCTAGCAACAGTGTTATATTCTACCTGCTCCTTAGGCTTGAAAGTTTGAACCCAATTTTGAGTTCTTATTTTCCCTCATACACTGTATCTGATCAGTCTCCAAACACTACTGCATACTTTTTCATAAAGTTCATCCAACTCCCCAGCTTTTTACCTCTACTGCATTCTTCAGTATTAATAATTCTTCAGTATTAATAATTCCTAAGAATTAATTCAGTATATTTCTCCACCACTCAAAATTCTTCAAGGACTCAATTTTTGGTACTTAACCCCACCCCACTCCCCACAATTTAATTTTGATATATATATATTTTTGGACTTACCTACACTACTTTCTTTCATGACTGCTTCAATTTAGCTAAAGGGTATTCACAATTCACTGAATGCATCTTTAATTACTTAGCGTATTCATGCTGTTTTCCTTTTTAAAAAGCTCATCCCCTCCAAACCATTCATTCATCTGAAGTCAGAGTCAAGCTGATGTGAGCTAAAATCACTATGTTTTGAGACAGAATATGAAAAGTCCTAACATACAATTACACATCATTTTCATCCTATGGCATGAACATTATATCATTACAAACAGTATCAATTTGTTCACTTAAGAAAAATTTTATATCTTGATTTCAAATATGCAGTCATAAGTAACTGCCTTAAACTGGGTCTATGCTGTGGAATTTGAGACTTTTGAAAATCAAAATCCCTTGTGAACTGTGTTCTGTTGTCATTTATACACGCATAGCTTTAAAAAAAAGGTAAAGTCTTCTTAGATCAAGTAGCAAGTGCTTGGGACATATAAACAGCACATTGGTGAGTTTACCAATTGTTTTCTCAAACAACCATTCAAGGGTTCATTACTTAAATAAGATATATACTGAGATGGTTTGCAATGTTTAATGCATGTGAATGTTATTTTCACTGTGTTTTTAAATAAGAAGCCCTCTGGTGGTATTGTCTTGCTTTGTTTTGCATATTCAAATGCATCTAAATGTAACTGTAGATAGATTTGCATTATATAGCATGTACATGTATTTACCTACTTTGTTTAGTCTCTGTTCAGAATTAAAAGTCATGCTGAAAACTGCTCAAATGATTTTATTTTTTACATTATAAGAAATAAAATGTATTACTTGAATAATAAACTATAATTGTTGTACTCAAGAAATTTCTCATATTTCAAAAAAAATGTGTTCTTCAGTTATCATAACGATAAAAAGCCAAAGACAAAGAAAAAAAAATATTCCGTAAGATCCAGGAAGCTTGTACCTCCTTTAATTGAATTTGCTAATAATCCTCTTTAAATTACAAATGTGCATCCATGTATTATGGTTTCTTATTTGTGAAACAAATTAGCATACTATGCTTTACAATCCTATTCTACATTTACTCCATTCCATATATAATTCTACCTATCATCTCTTGTATAATTGTATAAATATGACATATATATATATATATATATATATATATATATATATCATATAACTATGCCTTAAATTAATGATGTCCAATGCTGACTATTGACGTGAACCTGGCTCATTTTCATACCAAAAAAAGAAAGAAAATGACACAAAAATAGTCTTATATTTAGGGGACTTATTGAACTTTTTTTTTTTCTCAGCTGCCCCTGCTTTTGTCTGTTTTTGTTTTTTTTTATGAAATTGACATTTGTATTGAGTTTTTTCAACTTTTGACTTTCAGTTCTTTCTCCAGGACTTGAGCACAGACCCACCTTAGTTGCTTTTCCTGTATTTGGCTATGCAGAACAGGAAACCACGATCTTATCAGTCTCTCAGGCCCAATCTCTTAACTGCTTTAACCCTACAGCTAGTGTCATGGCTACAATTATTCAGACCACTTTTGGAGGCTACAGTGGTATCTGGTAATTCATTTCATGAGAGAGAGGGAGGAAGGAGAAGGGAGGTGTTTGCAGGCATTTAATCATATGCTACAATAAATAAAATAGAGCATTAGGACAATGAATATGATTTCATCACCAGTTTGCTCACAGATGAGAACATTTCTGGCCCAAACAGTCTAAAACAAAACAGGGACATATTTGGTCACAAAATTGAAAAGGCCAGAGGTATGTGACTTCTGCTTGGATGCATTCAGGGCTTCATATTGTCACCAAAACTCAGTTTATCTTCACCCCTGATTCTACTGCCCATCATTTTTTGCCTTTATTTTCAAATCTCACAGGGTTTCAAGATACCACCTGAGTTTACAGTGTGCATCCTTTCAGGGAAACATTTTCTAGAAAAGTTTGGACTCTTACCTCAAAGAATTGAAGTCCTGGTCTCAGGCACAATCCACAAAAGAAATAATTGATCAGCTGGACTTCATTAAATTAAAAACTTCTGCTCTGCAAAAGATAATATCAAGAGATTGGAAGACAAGGCACAGATGGGAGAAAATATTTGCAAAAGACATATCTGATAAAGGACTATTACCCAAAATATACAAAGCACTCTTAAAAGTCAACAATAAGAAAACAAATAACTCGATTAAAAAATGAGTAAAGTCCTTAACAGACACCAAACCAAAGAAAAATACACAGATAGCAAATAAGCATATAAAAAAATGCTCCACCCACATCATATGTCATCAGGGAAATGCAAATTAAAACAACAATGGGCTACTACGACACAACTATTAGAATGTTCAAAATCAGAGAAACTGACATGACACATGCTGGTGAAAATGTAGAGCAAAAGCAGCTCATTTATTACTGGTATGAACGCAGAATGGTACAGCCACTTTGGAAGACAGTTTGGCAGTTTCGTACAAAACTAAATATACTCTTACTATGCCATTCAGTAATCACGCTCTTTGGTATTTATCAAAGGAGTTGAAAGTTTATCTCTACACAGAAATCTGAACACAGATGTTTATAGCAACTCTCATCATAATTGCCAAAACTTGGAAGTAACCAAAATATCCTTCAGTGGGCGTGTGGGTAAATAAACTCTGATATACCCAGACAATGGAATGTTATTCGTTGCCAGAAAGAAATGATCTACCACGCCATGAAAAGACATGGAGGAAACTTAATGCACATTACTAAGTGAAAGGAGCCAACTTGGAAAGGCTACATACTGTACGATTCCAACTATATGACATTCTGGAAATGGCAAAGCTATGGAGACAGTACAAAGATCAGTGATAGCCAAGGATTTGGGGTGGCGAACGAATAGATGGAGCACAAAAGTTTTGGAGCAGTGAAATACTCTGTATGAGACTATAACGGTGGATACATGTCATTTTACATTTGTCCATATCCACAGAGTGTACAATACCAAGAGTGGATGCTAATGTAAACTATAGACTTTGGGTGATAATGAGGTGTCAATGTACGTTTATCATTTGTAACAAATGGGGCAGTCGGGTGGCAAATGTTGATAATGGTAGAGGCTATGCATGTGCGTCATGGTAGAGGATATATGGGAAAACTCCATGCCTTCTCCTCAATATTACCACAAACCTAAAACTGCTCTGGAAAAGATAAAGTTATATCTGAAAAAAAAAATGGAAAGAAAAAAGTAAGAAAACATCCTGGCCTCAATATCTATGGCCCAAATGTCATTTGGCCAGCCTTGACCCAAACATTTTTTCAGAAAGTGTGACTTTCTGATCGGCCAGGTTTGATTCACAAGTCCACTCCCAGATATCGGGTTAGTATAAGCACCATTTGAAATTTGTGATCCAACTGGCAGGGCTAGGACTAGAGTAAGGCAAGTGAGGTACTTGCTTTGGGCACAAAATTTGAGGGGACATAAAACAATCTGAGTAACCAAGATAATAACATTGTCATGCAGAATTTTTTTTAAAAAAAATCAATAGTGAAGCAAAATTCATGATGAAAAAAATTTCAAATTTTTAAAAAGATAGGATCAGTAACTGAGCCATACTATTGTAGAATCTGAGGGAAAAGGAAATTCTGATGATTTATTAAGAAATGTAAACATGGTTCAAATTCGATCATTTAATGTAATGGAAAATATTATGAGAGAAAAGTATAAGCCAAATTATCATTTTTAATAAATAAAGGGTTATCATTTGATTAAATTCAACTCTCATTTCATGGTTAAAACCTTAGCAAACTAGAGACCTTCCTTAATCTGATGAAGCATATCTACCAAAAACATATAACATGATACTTAATGATAAACTCGGGAACAGGACCAAGATGCTCTCTGTCACATATCCAGGAAGTCATAAGTTTACAGCCAAAGCAAAAAGGCATGAAACAGAAAGGTATCTATATTTAGGTATAAATATTACATTGTGTCACAGTTATTTTCATATATGCTTGACATAATTAAAAATCCAAAAGAATCTAGGACAATTAGAAATAATGCTGTCATTCAACAAGGATCCTATATGCAAGTTTAACATATGAAATCAACAGCATTTCTGCACACACTAAATAGAAAAATAATAGAAAATATGTACTAACCAGAATAAACAAAAACCCTAACATACCTCAGGGTAAATCCCACAAAAGATATATAAAATAATCTCTTAGAGAAAAACACCATAAAGTAAATTGAAATACTATTGATAAACATAAATTAGCTAAATATGTTCCTATTTATTGTAACCCTTATAATTAGTATTTATAAAGTATTAAAAATGGTAACTATTGCATTGTTCTGTACACCTGAAACTAACAATAAAAAAATAAGTAAACAAAAAAAAGGAAAATAACCTTAAAAACAAACAAACAAAAAAAGACAACAAGAACACTGGATTATAAAGGAAAAGATGTTAAACATAAACATTTTTAAAATCAAGAAATAAAAGAAAAAGTGATGAAAATCTTTAAGCTATTGAAACAAAAAGCCACAAAAAAAGTAAAACAGGATAGAAAAAAATAAGAAAACTATACAATCAATTCAGGAGCTGAAGATTGAAGTAATAATAGAAGGCCCAGAATAAGAGAATACAATAGGAGGGAGGGAGATTTTATAAAACTAAAGACATAACTATAGAATTAGGTTTCCTTTACTGAAATGATATATTGCACCCAATGAAGAAAAATGTACTCAACACACCCTCTACACACACACACAAAATTTCAAATACTAGTGATAATGAAAAAATTCATAAAGGACAGGGAAGGATAGGGAGGAACACGTCACATACAGAGAAGTAGAAATAAAAATGGAATTGTACACCTCAATGGCAAGAATAGAAGGAAGCCAAAATAAAGTTGGACGTGAAAATCTAAGGAATGAAGAATACTTGTTATATGCTTTTAGGTCTAATTGATTTTTGAATTATGTGCCTGTACTGGTTTAATAAAAAATAAAAATGAATTAAAATAACATAAAATGTTTAATGCTTTCACTTTCCCTCACAGGCATTGGGGAATAGTTCTGGCGAGCAACCCAAGAGATACTGACACTTCTTGGTTGATGAATTTGTCATCTAATTTCTGAGACTGACATTTACTTATATTTAGAATGAGTGTTTTAACTATGTTGCCTAGAATTCCTCCACTTTTGGTTTTTTTAGGATTTATGAGAACGCTCCCTAGTTAAAAGCATCCAACATCAACATAGAGTAAGCCATAAAAATGTAAGGATAGTCTATTGTTAAAAAAAAAAAAATCATCATTGGCCAGGTTCTTCACTTGGTGATAGCCACATCCCTTGAAGCATAGGTGGTCATTTTCAGTGGTCTGCTATATTCCTTCCAAACTAGCTTACGTCGATGCAGCTTGCCACATCCAAACTGACTACTCCTGTAAAAGATTTCCTTTCTCACAGCGCCTAATCCCCAAACATGAGAAGATTTTATGAGAAGTATCAAAGTTACTACTTTACAGGGGGCCATTAATGCATTTGGGAGATTTTAAATGCATTAACATTTGGGTTTTGTATACAATTTAAAAAAAAAAAACAGACCTTTTTTTCTGAACCATTAACATTTCCCCCTCAATATTATATTCTTTCTAGAGAAAATAATACATGGTCATCAAGGCATTTCAAGCTCATAAGAAGTTTTGAAATATTTTGAAAGTGTTTAATCTCTTTAAATCATTCTTAAAAGAGCTAGAAAAATTTAGTAAAGAATAAATTATTTCTAGTACCAAACCTTTTCACTCCAATCTACAATTTGTTCTAAAAAGTTTTAGCATTAATCCATTCC